AGTGTAGTCTTTATATATATATGCAATTCAGCTATTCATGAATATGTCAAGGATTTAGATGATTCTCAATGATTTGGTAATTTAGAGTATAAAGAGATGCTGCCATATGCATGCTCTTGATTTCCCTACTAGCTAAGGACAGTTTTTGGAGGGTCCATCTCTTGCAACATTCTTTAAATCTGCATCTGTTTATATAGTAAAGATAATCTACATACTTATTTTACAGGTTTGAAACATTTGGGATAGGGAAATAAATAAAATATATGCCTAAGTTTTATCCTGACTTGTAAAAATAGATAAAAGAATCATGTGCTGGGATGCCTGAATAGCTCAGTCAGTTAAGCACCCAACTCTTGATTTTGGCTCAGGTCATGATCTCAGGGTTGTGCGACTGAGCCCTGCATTGGGCTCTGTGCTGAACATCGAGCCTGCTTGGGATTCTCTCTGTCTCTTTCCCTCTGCCTTCCCTCACCGCCCCCCCACCGATAGAATCACGTGCTATCTCAGAACAAAGTGAGTTTTTATCCTCTATCTAATGTCATATTCTTGTTTTTGAATATATGCAGCTAAGTGGGAGATTTAAAATGGACTGACAAATAATCTTGCCTAATACAAATACTATTCAAACAATATGATAACAAGGAATTTGGGAAATCCCCCCCAACACCTGTAGTAGTTGCTCAAATTAAGTAATGCTCTCCCCATAGGTGATCATCACAAAGCCCAATATTAGCTTTAGCAGACTAAAGTAGTCCTTGGTATAGTCAGAATTATAGCATTGTCTTGAGATCTAGCAGCAAGAATAGCAAGGTGCGATTTGAGGTGGGTAGTGGGTTATTTCTTGAAACTTGTGCTTTTAACACAACCATTTAAAAATCAACAAATTCAGGAGACACATAATGGAACAAAATATAATGCATGAATCCAGGTTCATTAAACTAATGCATTTTTTGAAAAACAAAATATGACAGAACATTTCATTATTGACGCAGATAGGAGAAAAAGTGTTAGGCTGCTATTTAGAATGTGTCTTGTGTGTCGTGGAATTGAAATATTTCCAAATCATCAATAATTAAAATGATGAGAATCCATCATTTCACTGACATTTACTTCTACATGAAGAGATGGCCTATTTTAAATGTGCTCACACATATTCTTGTCAATCACAAGCTGTCACAGCAAATTATTTCATTTTGTAGATCACATGGCAGTTAGCAGAAAATCTCTAGGTTTAAATTTAGATCTAGGTGTAGTATCAAGAACACTTTTTATGGATTTTTTTCTGTGATTACATCTTTGCAATACAGTATATTAAAGATATAAAATCTTATTCATAGTACTCAGTTTCACTTCTGGTTAACAAAACGCAGGACTGAAATGAATCACTGTAAATGACAGCTCTAAAAGCCAAATAGTAGAATAGAATATACATAAAAGAATGAAAATATAAAACTAAAAAAATTTTTAAACAATCAGAACCCCATACAATGGAATTTGGATCTAATGAGTTAGGTCCAAACAGTTTTTTTCTCTCATCTTCTTTAAGACATTTAAGCAATTGCCAGGCATTTCTTATGCTAGGTTGGCACTGCCTACAGCTTCTAGCAGTTATAAAGGAGCTAACCTCTTATAAACCCCATGAATCAGATGTAAGAATTTTCACTGTGCCACCATTAAAGAAGATTCAGGAAATGGTGAATAAAACCTAAACTGCATGCCCAAGGATCTGAAAGCTTTTAAAATGCCTCTTCAAACAATTCGTTAACTATATCTTCACAATTCTAACAGAATCATTAATAGATTTCAGAACCTTCAAATGCCAGAATTATATGACCTAATCAGACAATGGATCTTCATCAGCAGTCTTTATTAAAAAGATTCTATTTTCCCCATAAATAATCTTCTGCTTTGGCATTTAACTTCAAAATGTAAGAATTATTCTAATACTGCATTTCAACAGGGAATGCTTCATGTCAGTCTTGACCTTGGCTTGACCTCTATAAGAAAGCTTTGTGTTTCGAGGTATGTGATGAATAGCTCTCTGGCTTTCTATTAAATCCAGTGGCACTGACTGTCAACAGTGGTACTCAAAAGGGGTAGTAAAGTGGTTAAAAATCAGAAATATTCCTTAGGTCTTTTTCTACCCTGGTAAATCTGGAAATAGTCTGAGGCAATTTTCACTATCTACACTGCTTTTCCAAAGAATAAGAAAACAATGAAGTATGGAAATATAATTGCCGAAATATACATAGACGTATTTGGCCTTCCTGTAGCAGAAATAATGTAAATTTTCCTTTGGAGGACCCATTTGATTTACGTTGTTGAATAGGGTTTTCAGTTTTAAGGATTTATAACTTACTCAGTTTAAGCTCCTTAAAGACCAGGACTTCTATCCCTAAGTCAGGACTGCATACATAATAGATACTTAATAAAATACTTACTGGTTTACATTTAGATCGAACTGAATTAAACTGAATTTAATATCAGAGATTTTTGATAAAAAAGAAGTCAGACTATAAGCCCCTTTTTTCATCTCTCTCTGAACTGGCCTAGTACCTGGCACATAGTAGGCTTTCAATGAATGTTTGCTGAATGAATGAAAATCTTTATATTAAAGTAATGACTAATTACTGACTCTAATGCCTGTTGCTTAACTGCATGTAAAATATTCATGTTCATGTAGAAAGATACAATAGTAATACCCAATTTTGCCAGCAGTTTTCACCTTATTTACGTTTAGAATGCCTCCTTACTCTAAATTTATCTACCACCTTCGAAGCTATTCATATGTGTCTTATTTTTATGGTACATCATCGTAAATTATTATCTATAAAACACATGCAAGAAAGGTAATTTTAACCTGATTTGAAAAAGTACATGTGAATATGTGGGATATATATATATGAAATCTTCCCCACACTTCTCTCAAAATATTTAATTCAAGTTAAAGACTATACTATGTATAGGTAATATTTATTTACATTTATATTCTTAAGGTTCTGGAAGAAACCAAATATCAGTCTTTAGACTTACAGGCTTATCTATGAGCTTAAGTTAGACAAGTGGCTTTTTCCCATTATACTTACCCTAGGTCTTTTTAATGGACATGTGATATGCTAGTCTGTGTCCAACCTCACCTACAATTTCTTTTCTCAAAAGACAAGGCACATCTGCCACCTGCTCTACTCCGTGTCCCAGCAACAACTGTCGAGCAGCATAAAGATTGATTATCAGTCAAAAACCATTGCACAACACCAGATTTTGGTGGGTTAAGCTTGCTGATCCAGCAAGAGATGGTGTGAAATTTTCAGGAGTGTGTGCCAACATTTTGGTGCTAAAAGAACAGCAGTGCATGTCACAGTGAAACACAGCCAAAGATATGCAGACAAAGCAGAGAAGTTTTTTGTTCTGGACTTGGCTTTAGAAAGGATAAAAGAGAAAACAAAAAGTAGGAAGAAATTAGTTTGTACATTTAAAAATCATCCACCAAGCTAGTCATGTGTGTAACACTGTTATTTTAAGCATACATGTCCAGAAAAATTTCTAAGAAGTTAACTATAAATAATTTTTATAAATCTCTTCTACAACACCATTATCATATGAATGGCAAGTATTTCTTATTAATAAAAATAATCAAGGATCTTAAGGAAGAACTCATTACATATACATTTAAATATACAATAGTCACAGAAACATTTACCCACAAAGACACATGCTTTTATAGAAGATGATTTATACAAATGATTCAATGAATACAAAATAAAAGCAACCATAGTTTAAAGTTGAATCAAGATTTGAAAAATATATGGGTCTATACTCCCACATAGGTAATTTTTAGTGAGTACTATAGCAACAAGTTTCTTTACCTTGAACTTTCTACTGAATTCAAGAAATTATTTCCTGATGATCAGGTATTTTGAAAGAGAGAGAAATCCTAGTTTCATCTTATATAATAACATTAATATAGGAAGAATTTTCATCACTTCATCTGTAATGAACTCCAGAATTACTTTTCTTCCACTTATGCAATTACTGCCTAGACTTGTCCTTGGTTCACCAGCTTTGTAGCAGTTTCAGGAAAAAAAAATACTTCTAATAAGGTAGTAAAAGTACAGGGGAATACAACAGTTAGATACACTGAATTTGTATGCCAAAGTTCTTATGTCATTTAAATGTGATTACCATTTATAGCACTTGATAACAGACTATGGTATGACATGTTTGTAAGAATATTCTTCGATAGTACTTTTCTTTCTTTCTTAAAATGAATTGTTTCCCACTGAAGAAAGAAAAATGTTTGTTTTATTTTAGAAAATCACATTTCTGAAATGCTAGAAACAATGGACTTTTTAAAAACAGACCTCACCAGCAAATATGTCTAAAATACATGTTTATATTTTGTGTATATAATATTATGTATACATATAAATATAAATTACATATATATATATACACACACACACACATTTCAAGGTTTAAAAAGTCAAGCTGCAGCATTTACTTTATGAAAAATTTTGTTAGGAAAATCGCATGTATATGAGAATTATATGTTCATTCTGACCACATTTTCATAGTTATGTTAATGCTCTCTGAAAAAAGACCAAGAGTGTAAATGAATAAATGCTATTTGAAACTTTGAACTATTTTCTGAGAGAATAAATCTAATGAATTATGTCTGTTGGGTGTCACAGAAACTAAACAGTAAATTCAATAATCTCTGATTTAATTTATTATATTTTCACCATTTAACCTCCTGCAGGCTCCCTAATGTCTATTCAGATCTATATTAAATTAAGCACCAATGCTAATGAAGGGCAATAAACGTGGCTGTCAGTGGATTTTTCTTTCATTAAGCACATTATCCTCTTACTGAGCTGTAAATGCGTAAACATTAGTTTTGTTAAACCATGCAAAAAAGACAGGATGAAAATCATTTTTTAATTGCACCCCTTAAGCAATTTACTGGGGGTGGGGGTAGGGTATTTTTTTTTCCTTTTTACCTTTAATTTTTTTGAATGGATCTAAAAAGGGCTCTCCTGTTGAAACATAAACGTCGGCTTCATGGGGTATATCTTCAGGTTTGAGGGCTTCAGTGCCGTTTGCCAAGAACACTCGTCGTGCGGCCATGTTCAGATTCAGCTTTTCTGTGCACTCCTCCAGCAACTAGAAGAAAGCAGGCAAGAGGTAAGAGAAAGTGATTTAGGACAAAGAAAGCAACACATTGCCATGAAACAAAAGGTGCTAACAATGAAAACAGACACCCATTGAGTCACTGGCCAAGTTAAGTAACTCAAGTAACTCCACCAATATATTTTCTAGCACTTGAAAATATAAAATAAAAGGTAAATCACAGCACTGAGACTATCTAACGATCGTCTAATTTTAGTCCTTGTTCTGTCTGTTTAACAACTCCACAAGATATAAAGCTATTCTGTTTAATTCAATATACCACTTATATATTGATAAAAAAAAGAAAGGAATAAAATACCTGTGAGATCTATGTATATATAAGCATTTTACAGATTCATTACTAAAAAGAAAATTTTAACACAATAAACATCATCTTTTTCATTTCTTAAATTATAAAAAAAAGTAAGGGAAGAAATAAAGCACTGAAAACTTTTGAACACTATTTACCAAGGTGATGGTTGGTACTGTAACTTTGGCAAAGACTGCTCTAGATCCATTTTTGTAAGCTGTTACTGTAATCACTCTGGGATGAAGTTTGTGACTTTGAGACAATCTATGCCAATTCTGGGCTGGCTGAAATTTTAAAGAAGAGAACTCTGCAACTCTGAAGGAAAAAAACCCACAAAATTGGTGCATGTTAATTAGTAAAAACATTTAAATAAATATTATCCTAGACATCTTTTATAGATATAAGCCCTAATGACTGTTCCCAAGTATTCCTCAAAAAAACTTTTTATAGGCTAAGATGGTCCATATCTACTTAAATATTTTTAAAAATTTAACACAGGATAAGTTTGCTAAAACTGTTCATGTAAAACACCTATCTGAGAATAGATGATTTTTTATCAATTAACTTATAAAACACCACAACCTTCATTTAAAAAATCGTATGTATACATGCTGTGTTCTGTTAGAAAACAAAAAACAATAACATAGTCCTAACATCATGAAATAGTAAATGGCTAAGATCTTCCCTTAAGTTTTCATGTTTACCAAAGTTCTTTGATTTTTTAAAAAGATTTGAAATTCAAATAGTTTCTTACTCTAAGTTTCTTATTCTAAAGTTAGTTGTAACTGCTTTCATCTCAAATTTGTTTGGGGGTAGAAAGGGAAGATTTCTAAGTTTTGTCTTCATTCAAAATCAGTTTCGATTCTTATTATTTTCTCAGCAAAAGTACATGACAAATGACGAGCATGTTGTATTTTTCTTCAGAGTTCTCTAACCCTGTAATTCTTAATGCCACAGAAGCAAAGTAAACATTTTGAAATAAAAACTTCAGGTAAATTAAAATCACAATATACCCACCTAATCAAATATATGAAAATAATGGGAGTATCAGTTTCTTGGTTTGATTTTTGCTTTTGCCAACATTTTCTTCTATCCATAAATTCTTAGGTTAACAGTTTATGATAACAATCTTGATATGAAAATATATACACAAAATGGTTTTATAAGTCCATTTCATTTTGATTTTATTACAAAATATTGATTAAATATCAAAAGTATGCATTTTGATTTTAAACAAATATCTGGTAAACAGATATTCTATAGTCCTAGCCTGATTCTCCTTCAAGTATTTTTTTCTGAGTTTAATATTATCCACATTAAAGTGTATCTCATGTTTTCCGCAAGTGTAATTAGCAACATTCTACTCAGGTGTTTTCAAAGAAAAAATAAACAAAACAAAAACAGAAACAAAACCCTAGAGATGTGTTACATTTTAATGTCTGAAATAGTCAATTGAATCATTATAAATTCTGCTCAAAGGAAAAAGCTTCAGCAGTCGGTTAAAAGAACAGAGAACAGCTTTGATTACCTCAGTTGACCCACTGGAGCACTGACAGGTCTGTTTCTCTTGGATGCTGATAAAAAACAAGAATTGTTTTTACTGTTTGATTTGTAGCTATATGGGTCTGATATTTCATCATGGCTATGATCTGATGCTGTTTGATGTGTGGAGCAATCTTGAAGTCCTGACCCTTCTGATACTGCCGCTGAATGCAAAAGTCTGTTGGGGCCAAACTGCAAATAATCTTCAGTAGTTTTAATAACTGCTTTTGCCTGGGATGACATAAACTCTCTGAAAGAAACAATCCATGGAAGAATACAGTGAATTGATTTGTAATTACTTATTAACAACTACCCCATAACTGGTTGTGTGCTATGTGCTAGACAAAATACTACACACTGGCCAGTATTGTATTTAATCCTTATAACATCCCTGGGAAGTGGGTACTATTTGTATCCCCATTTTACAGATTTAAGAAGTTGTGGTTCAGAGAGACAATTAACTTGCCAAAGTTCACATAATCAGTAAGCTGACAGGGTGAGAAACTGAACCTAAGCCTGTACTAAAATAAAGCCCACATTCATAACCAGTAAATTGAATTGCTTTACTCTATTAAAGAAGAAAGCTTGTGTAATGCTTGAAACAATGCAAGTAAAATTTTTAAATTCTTAGATTCATTTATTAAAAACTAGCACTCTGCTCAGTATTAGGAAATATAAAAGCTAAAGATATGTGGCTTCTATCCTCAAGAAACTTGCAAACTATCCCCTAATAAAGACAGAATATATGTTAAGTAAGCCACTTAGAACTATGGGTATGTATTAACTATAAATGCAAAACAAATTCCTTGAAAGCAAACTTACATTGTCTGGAATAAAGTTGATAAAGGCTTCATAGCAGGCTGGGATTAGGGTGACCAACTCATCCTGGTTTGCTCAGGTCTGCCTAGGCTTTGGCAATCAAAGTCACACACCCCAGGAACTCCCTCAGTCCCTCAGTCCCTCAGTCTCAGACAAATTGGGTTGGTTGATCACCCTACCTGGTAGTTAAGCTGGAGGAGTAGCATTTAGATGAACTATGATGTTTGAACAGGGGACCATATGACCTGTGACAATATGTAAATCTATGTAAATACCAACTTAGGAAGATGGAATATATAGAGAATTTGCTGGTATGATAAAATGAAACAAGCTTTAACATATTTAAGAATATTGAGCTGTGTGATGATTAGGCATAGAGGTTAGTAAGCTTCCATGTATTATTTCAGTATTCCATGTATTTGTATTTTTATACAAACCAAATGTGCTTCTGTCCAATTTGCTAGTTCCTCAGTAGTTCTTATACATAATGTAATATAACCCCACCCACCCGTGCAATTATAAAACAGCATATGCTTAATGTGGAAAGCTTGGCACAGACAGCCTCTCCTCCAGTTTTTTCTAACCCACCAATGTCATTACAGTCACAATTATTTCTCCTGGCCTGTCCTCTCTATGTTCACAAATGTGTAAAATGGTTGATTACTTCCTCTGAAAGAATGGAAGGCAGTCACGTGCCACGGGGAAAATTGGTGTGGGTGTGTGGATGAGAGTTGACACAGTGCATCAATAAACCTAAAACACTGGGATCCAAGCAGTTGTATTTGTTGTTATCACATGTTTTCTATCCAAGTCTGTCCTGAATTGACCATAGCTCTATGGTCTTCCCTCTGCTCTGAGGATCTACCCAGGCTCAGAACTTTGGTAAACAGCCTTTTGAATTTTCGCTGGACTTGAACTCTGGCAGAGGCGAGACCTCCCTTCAGACCACCTGAGGTACCTCAGATTTTAACAACAAGGATGGTGGCGGCAGGTGGCAGCGGTCAGGTCTCAGTGGCAGCGTTTCTGCAGCACCAGCTGTGGAACTGCAAATGGTCACCAGGCTTTTCAACTTAGGGGAAGAGCCGCAAACAGGCAGGAGGAGAGATCTGCGGATCTCAGACAGTTCCCAGTGCCCATAAAGAGTCACTTGGAGGGGCGCCAGGGTGGCTCAGTCGTTAAGCGTCTGCCTTCGGCTCAGGTCATGATCCCAGGGTCCTGGGATTGAGCCCCACGTCGGGCTCCCTGCTCAGCAGGAAGCATGCTTCTCCCTCTCTCACTCCCCCTCCTTGTGTTCCCTCTCTCGCTGTGTCTCTTTCTGTCAAATAAATAAATAAAATATTAAAAAATAAAATAATAAAAAAGTCACTTGGAAAGCAAATTCTCATATAAAGAAAGAAAAGGAATTCTCTACATAATGCAGATTGGGTGTCTTTTTAAGATTTTATTTATTTATTTTTAAAAACTTTTTAAAGATTTTATTTATTTGAGAGAGAGAGAGAGGGAGCATGAGTGGGGGGAGGGGCAGAGAGAGAAGCAGACTGACCCTAAGATCATGAGCTGAAGGCAGACACTTAACCGCTTAACCCACCGAGCCACCCAGGTGCCCCGATTTTATTTTTTTTGAAGTAATCTCTACACCCAGTGTGGGGCTTGAACTCGTAGCCCTGAGATCAAGAGTCACATGCTCTTCTGACTGAGCCAGCCAGGTGCCCTGTGTCTTTCTTTTTTAATGAACACATTTTGTTTATTGTCAAATATTTTTATAAATATCCTCATGATTTTATATGATAATCCATTTTCACACCACCAGAAAGTGAAAGGTTTTATTTTTTCCAAATTTCAAAGTTTCAGCTGTATTGATGAGAGGGCAAAAGGCAAGCTGAGGGCAAAACTGGAGCTGACACCCGACAAGCCCCACTCCCCTTAGGGTGGGATATGTGTAACATTCCTCAGGCACTGTAAGAACAAAGATAGGGAGAAACAAATTGTCAACTGATAATGATCGCAGTCATGCAGGACAGAAAACTCCACTATTGTTTGTATCTGTCTTAATGATTAACAAGAAAAACACAATCTTAATAACAGCCAGACCTCCAAGAACCTATAGACTCAATGTCCTGGAGCCCTACCATCACCTTCACTTCCATGGGATAGAAAACCCTATATAATCAGTCACTTCTCACAATCACAGTGCAGCCCTTTCTACCCACGGGTCCTGTCCCAGTGTGCTAATAAAAACATCTTTTTGTACCATAAAATGCCTCAAGAATTCTTTCTTGACCATTTTGCTCGATGACCCTGCATCATGTGTCACACTTTTAATTCAGTATCTTGCCTTTTTTACCTAAATACTGTTTTATAACCATTTTTCAGGTTGCTATACGATCTTTACAGATTTTACTAGAATGTAAATTTTATCAAGTAATTTTACTTATATCTTGCCTTCCTCAATCTAGTCATGTAAAAGTTATTTACTGTTTTCGTCTGCTGGCATATCTTCCCCCTGTCTTCTGGTAAGAGCATTGGAATCCTTTAGGGAAACTCGCATCCTTCTCCCTCCCAACTCCACATGATTCTGGTAGAGTTAGGACAATAAATTATATGAGATTTACCTGGTAAATGGTTAAAAGAATTAAACTAAATTATATGATTTTACCATATTTATTTATTATTGGTTTTTCTCTAGTAATTTATATCAAAAAGGGGGAGAAAAGGTAGTTTTTCATGTGAAAATGTCGCTTTTGGCCCACCATCTGTAGTCTTCAGTTTTGATTTGTTTTATCAATGCTGATGACAGGTTTGCACTAGTTCTTACACACTATTAAACTCTTCTTTCTTTTAACAGTTGATGTGTTGCCTAGTCTTTGGGTGTGAGAAGATAATCACAGAACTGTTTGGCAAAGCTAACTTGTCCTACAAAGGGAATTAAACCCATACACGGTTTGTTAAATTAATGCTGGAAATGAGGTTGTTAGGACCATTCAGCTCAAACACACTTGGGTTTCAGGTGACTGAGCTTGTTACTAGTATACACAGAAACTTAAAAAAGAAAATAAAACCACTCCAGCAGGGCACAAAGAGAAGGCCATTAACTGCTCTTCAGAATATACTAGTGACTTAAAAACAACTCCCGTAGTAGTGATTATTATTGTAATAGCATTGTCTGGGAACAGATGGTAGCTATACTTGGGGTGAGCATAACATAATATATAAACTTATCCAATTACTATGTTGTACACCTGAAACTAACATAACATTATGTGTTAACTACACTCAACTTAAAAAACTAAAAAACAAGGACCGCTGTCTGGCTCAGTGATTCTTGATCCCTAGGTCATGAATTCAAACCCCATGTTGGGCATCAAGGTTACTTAAAAAAAAAAAAAAATTACAAAACAACAACAAAAACCACAACTCTAGTAGAGTGCCACATTTTTTGACTCCACAACCTCTTCTATCCTTCTATGCCTAACTGCTTCCTCTTCTTACATCATTATTGCCTAACCTACCTCTGTTCTTCTCAGTCCTCATGGGTTCTGCTAATTCCTCTATGTATCTCCCCATTTCTATACCACACTACTTTCTGATGACTCTCTATGACTTACATTCAATGCCCCCAAAAGTTTAACTGCATCACTACCCAGTTTAGGACACCCTGTTGGATAGAATTCTTAAGCTAGGCAATCTCATAAGCCACTGGCAAGCCTGTGGATGGGAAAGTACCCGTCAGTGGCCCAAAAACTATGGACAGGAGAGCAGGATAATAAGATGAAGAGGGCTTCGAGTAAGATGGACTCTCAGATGCATGCCAAAAGAGGAAAACATACTTGGCAGGGGAATTGCATGGCCTGTCTCCTATACCAAGATAAGCAGAGACACTGCATCGTGTGACTGGAGAGGTGGGCAAAGGAGGTAGCTCTACACTAGGAGCAGTGAACCAGCAGCGCTCTTTAGCTAATAGAACTCTAACGTGTAGACTGTATTTAAGTCACCACAATTGTAGTCTCTTTATTTGTCTTTCTTTCTCTTATTCTCCTCACCTTTTTTCTTTGAAAGATCCTTTTGCCTCCTCTGCAAAAATTTCTTAGAAATCCCATGACATTCAGATTTATTAAAGTGAACTTCCTTCCACCTCCAGATTTATATATATCTTCACATAGCTATCTTCCCCCCAAAGTCTTCGTCTTCTGAGAATTGTACTCTACATTCACATAGCTATCTCATTCACCAAGAAGTTTTTGTCTTTTAATTGAGAATTTGGCCTATAATCTTACAATTTGTTTTCTATTTTTCCTATGTATTCTATGTTCCTTTTCATTCCTTTCTTGTTTTCTCTCAGATTAAATAACATCTTCTTTATTATTTCATTTTCATTTCTATTAGGTTGAATGTCCTACATTGTTTAACCTTACTTTTTATGGAAACACTAGC